GGTGATTGCGTGTGGTGGTGTGTGTGGTGATTGTGTGTGGTGGTGTATGTGGTGATTGCGTGTGGTGGTGTGTGTGGTGGTGTATGTGGTGATTGTTTGTGGTGGTGTATGTGGTGATTGTGTGTGGTGGTGTGTGTGGTGGTGTGTGTGGTGATTGTGTGTGGTGGTGTGTGTGGTGGTGTATGTGGTGGTGTGTGTGGTGGTGTATGTGGTGGTGTGTGTGGTGATTGCGTGTGGTGGTGTGTGTGGTGATTGTGTGTGGTGGTGTATGTGGTGATTGCGTGTGGTGGTGTGTGTGGTGGTGTATGTGGTGATTGNGGTGATTGCGTGTGGTGGTGTGTGTGGTGATTGTGTGTGGTGGTGTATGTGGTGATTGCGTGTGGTGGTGTGTGTGGTGGTGTATGTGGTGATTGCTTGTGGTGGTGTATGTGGTGATTGCGTGTGGTGGTGTATGTGGTGGTTGCGTGTGGTGGTGTATGTGGTGGTGTATGTGGTGGTGTGTGTGGTGATTGCGTGTGGTGATTGTATGTGGTTGTGTGTGTGGTGATTGCGTGTGATGATTGTGTGTGGTGATTGCGTGTGGTGATTGTGTGTGGTGCTGTGTGTGGTGATTGTGTGTGGTGATTGCGTGTGGTGATTGTGTGTGGTGGTGCGTGTGGTGATTGTGTGTGGTGGTGTGTGTGGTGATTGCGTGTGGTGATTGTGTGTGGTGCTGTGTGTGGTGATTGTGTGTGGTGATTGCGTGTGGTGATTGTGTGTGGTGGTGTGTGTGGTGATTGCGTGTGGTGCTGTGTGTGGTGATTGTGTGTGGTGATTGCGTGTGGTGATTGCGTGTGGTGATTGCGTGTGGTGATTGCGTGTGGTGATTGTGTGTGGTGGTGTGTATGGTGATTGCGTGTGGTGATTGTGTGTGGTGGTCTTCCTGTGTCTGACTCTTGTCCTTCTTCTCCTGTCCCTTTGGAGCAGAATGTCCACATCCAGAACTTCTCCTCCAGCTGGGCTGACGGTCTGGCCTTCTGTGCCCTGGTGCATAACTTCTTTCCCCAGGCCTTTGATTACAGTGCACTGGACCCCAGGCAGCGGCGGCACAACTTCCACACAGCGTTCAGTGCAGCAGAGTCAGTGTCGGCACCTAACGCTCACCCAGAAGCACAGTCTGCACATAAACACACAGAGCGACTGAGCAGACCCTCAGTGTGCAGACCCTCACTGACAGCAGGCAATCCCCATCCCCCTCCAGGCAGCTGGCCAATGTCCCCTGTCTGCTGGAAGTGGATGACTTGGTGCGGATGGAGGAGCCAGACTGGAAGTGTGTGTACACCTACATCCAGGAGTTCTACAGGTGCCTCGTGGACAAGGGCCTTGTCAAAATCAAGAAGCCAGCCTGACGTAGGTGTGGAGCTAACAGCAAACCTAATTAACTTAGGATCCTTTACAGTGCTCGTTAATATCGATCCTGTGTTATGACTCAGCATTCAGATAGAGACATCCTGTGTTATGATGGATTGTCCAGTAACAAGGATTCTGTGATAGAGCCTTTAATCGCAAGGACCTGTAATACAATGTTCAGTTGTTAGGATCCTGTTGTATAGTGTTCAGTTAAGAGAATCCTGTGATAGTGTTCACTTGCTAGGATCCTGTGATACAGTGTTCAGTTATGAGGATCCTGTGATCGAGTGTTCAGTTATGAGGATCTGGTAATACAGTGTTCAATTATGAGGATAGTGTGACATGATGTTCAGTAGAGGAGGTCCTGTGTTGTAATCCAATGTTCAGGGAGGATGATTTTTTTCTTCTTCTGATGCAGTATTCATTAAGGGAGGTCCTGTATGGTACAATACCATGTTCAGTTAGCAACAGTAGTTTAAGGATATGTAATGAGAGGGAGACAGCAGACAGTGCCCTCTGTCTGCAGGCCAGCAGTAGTGCAGCAGTTCTGCTATCTCAAGCTCCACACTCTAAAAGGAGATGTTTGCTCAGGCCAATGAGTCCACTCTGCAAGGGCAAAATTTATGAGTCCAGCCTGTCAGGAATGTGCCGTTCTGTATCTCTCTGGCCTCTGTTTAATCCTACGAGAAGTTGCTCTGTCACGCAGCATTGCTGTTGAGCCAAAAGTGTGAAATGCTTATTATTATTGTTGTTGTTGTTGTTGTTGTTGTTGTTGTCGTCGTTGTTGTTGTCGTAATCATCATTATTATTTCTCTGGTTAGTCATATCTTAAGCTGGATATGATACTGCCAGTTTATGTTAGGTAATGTCCTTAGTAGTACAAGAAGCAGACCTTCCTGGAAGTTGACCCAGTGCATATCCTCACAATCACTGGACTGACTGTTATCAAGTCAAGTCAAGTCAAACTTTTTCATTTCAAAATATGCAAGCACACAATGCAATAAATCTGTTTGTCCATGACTTTAAAAACAGTTTTACACATGAGACATACTTGAATATAATCAATGATTAAATAAATATGCTATACAAATAGTGCAACTTTCAAATAGGGCTTGATTATAAACAGCTTACAGAGGAAGAGCAGGGTTTTTAAAAAGGGGGTACAGTGTAAAACCATTTGTTATGTGCAACTGATGCATAAAGTGACTGATGCGGGCAGTTGGTAGACAGGTATGAAAGTGGTTCAATGGAATTCCAAACACAGTGTAGAGGAGTTTGATGGCCTGAAGAAAGACGTTGTTACAGAATCTAGTGGAGTTGGTCTGAATGCTCTGGAGTCTTCTTCCAGATGGGAGGGGGTTGAAGAGGCCAGGGGTGGGGGGGGTGGGAGAAGGGTCGTTGAGTATGCCTGTGGCTTTGTGGATGTAGTGCTTATCAGTGTCTCGGATGCTAGATGGGTCCCGATGATGTTTTTGACTGTGGGAAGAAGGTGTGCTCTGCTTAGGCAACAGAGAATGTGGAGGTACCATGGTGTCTTTAAAAGATAGGTGATGTTGTGGGTCCGTGTGACACCATCGCCAATGTGCATTGTGAGGAACCTGGTGCTCATGATGACCTCCACAGTTGAACCATTGATGCAGCCACACTGGTGTCATCTGTGAACTTGATGGCGTGGTTGGGTCAGCAGAGCGAAGAGCAGTGAGTGGAGCACACACCCATGGGGGGCTATTGGACCTGTCCCCAAAGATGATTGTCTGTGGTCTTTCAGTGAGAAAGTCTAGGATCCAGTTGCAGAATGTTGAATTTATGCTGATCCCTTCCAGTTTGTGTATTAGCGTCTGTGGAATGATTGTACTGAATACTGAGCTGAAATCGATGACCAGCGTCCTGTCAGAGGCATTGTTGTTGTCCAGGTGTACCAAGGTTAGATGGAGGGCAGTTAACGTTGTTATTATCATCCATGGACTAACATGCGAACTGGAGAAGACCCAATGTGGAGGGAAGGCTGGCCCAATGTGGCCCATGACTAGTCTCTCGAAGCACTTAGTGATGGTTGATGTGAGTTCTACAGGATGGAAGTCATTTAGACAGGTCACTAGGGCTGCTCTGGTACTGGCGTGATGGTGTCTGTTCTGAAGGATAAGGGGATGATAGTCTGGCTGAGGAAGATGCCAAAGATGTCCGTGAAAACATCTACCACTTGATCGGCACAGTCCCTGAGCACACAACCAAGTATACTGTCAGGCCCAGCAGACCTGCATGGCTTTGCCTTGGACAGGCTTCTGCTGAGCTCGTCAGAAGGGATGGATTTACAAGCAAGCACCTTGTTCTCAGCCTCAGTCGAGTGTGGAAACTGTTCAGTTTGTCTGGTAGGGAGACATTTCTGGCACAGGTTAGTCGGGTGGACATGTAGTCAGTCATGGCTTGTATGCCCTCCCACACTCGTTCGACACTGCGTGTCGTTTCCTTGTATACTCTGTGTTTATCCGCATTTTACTTCCTTAATGGCCTGTGATAGATTGTTCCTGGCTGTCTTGGCCTGCTTTATCACCTGATTTGAAGGCAGCGTCACAGATTCTCAGCAGTGCCCATACATTTGGTGATATTAACTGATTTGGGATCAGATTCCAACCTTAGTGGGCATGAGCTAGGACATAATGTAGCCTGGCTTGCTGCTTTGTATGACGCACACTGACCCAGTTTTTACAGTGTGCTGCTGGGACCAAGGTTAAAATCCACTAAACTAGTTATATTTATGTGGTTTTAAGTGTAAAGCCTGACCTCTAGAGGCTATACTCACATACTGCATGATTAGCTGAAGCAGCAAAAGTTATATTTTTTAATTTCATAATATGTGTGTTTCTTCCAAACAAGTACTCAGTTGGGTATATTAATGAAGCAATTCAAGCTAAACGTCTCTCAAGAGCGCAGCAGAATGCTCCTTTTATGGTTGTTTCATTCCATGTGCAGCTCCCGCAGCGTATGTGTGTTTAGGGTCATGTATTATGTATTTATAAATATATTACATTGTGGGGATGAAAGGTTTTTATCACATTTTTCAGACCTCACAAGAGGACATTCAATTTTATAAAAATCTGTGACTGTAATCAAGAACCTAAAAATGCCGTAAGTCTTGTATTTCGTTTGGTTACTTATGGTTAAGGGTGTCATAGTTGGGATTAGGGTTATGCCCATAGAAATGAATGGTCAGTCCCCACAATGACAGGAATATTTGAACTATGTGTGCTTGGCCGTGTTTATCAGCTCTCTTCCCCGTTGCTCCCTCTTACAGGACTCGGCGTCCAACAGGCCCGAACACACTGCAGCCTCTGCTTCTAATCTCTACCTGTACATAGAAACAGAAGTGTTAGTGGGGGCTTGGTGAGAGTCAGCTACACACCCAATACAAACACACAAAATAAACACTCCGCGTAATAGAAACATGCTCCCTTGGGCATAAACACAATCGAATAAGCACAAACATCATATTATAAACACAAACTGTAATAAATCCACGCACTGTCCTATAAGCAAACACTGTAATAAATCCACACACTGTCCTATAAGCAAACACTGTAATAAATCCACGCACCGTCCTATAAGCAAATACCGTAATAAATCCACACACTGTCCTATAAGCAAACACTGTAATAAATCCACGCACCGTCCTATAAGCAAACACTGTAATAAATCCACACACTGTCCTATAAGCAAACACTGTAATAAATCCACGCACCGTCCTATAAGCAAACACTGTAATAAATCCACACACTGTCCTATAAGCAAACACTGTAATAAATCCACACATTATCCTATAAGCACATGCTGCATATATTTTTTACTGTATTGTTTTCCCTGAAGACTGAAGTCTCCTGCTCTGTGTATTTCTACTAAGTGTATATTATGAAAAAATAAAACAATTTTAATAAATACAACATATGCTTCCTAAAGTTTACATGACATATAATTGATTAATTACAGTAAAAGCACATTTTCCCAGTTGCTTGTTACCATGGTCCTATGTTACGTATTAACTACTATATAAGTGAAAAATAGGAGAGAATGTGAATATAGTAAGTTTGGGGGAGAGAATGTGAATGCAATGAGTATGAATGACAGAATGTGAATGTGGTGAGTATGAGGGAGAGTGTGAATGCAGTGAGTATGGGGACAAAATGTGAATGCAGTGAGTATAAGAGAATGTGGATGCAGTGAGTATGAGTGAGAGAAAGTGAATGCAGTGAGAATGGGGACAAAATGTGAATGCAGTGAGTATAAGAGAATATGGATGCAGTGAGTATGAGTGAGAGAAAGTGAATGCAGTGAGTATGAGTAAGAGAAAGTGAATGCAGTGAGGACTGAGCCATATGGATTGTTGCTTGAATTTTCTCCCTTTTACTTGTGTGATGCCAACGTATGATTTTCACCTTAGCTGTCCCCAATGGCAGAAACAGGAGGATTTACCAAGAGCAGAACGAACATTTACATGCAGGTCCACACACATAAAAACAAATATACAAGTGTGGTACTTTCTAACTAATAATTAATATCTCCTTATATAGTGACTGTCTATCTATCTAATGAGAATCTGAGAGCAAAAACTGTCACCTTGGCTGAAATCCTTTAATGGAAGAAACCATGTCAGGTTCGTGTCGGGTAACCTGTCTAAGGACGCGCTGAGCTGGTTCGTCCTCAGTTAAATGCTGTGCAGAAGTGCTGTTGTAATTTGTAGTACGGAAACATTCTGCTGAAAAACATGAAAACATGGAAATTTGATCGTCCTCTGAGATGTACGGAAAGTCGGCAAACAATAAATGCGTGTGCTTTCAAAGCGTGTTACGAACCTCTATCTTGAGCCGCTGTTCCTGGATCTCGTTTGAGGTATATTAAGTTGAATATTCTTATCGTGCACTAAAAGTCGTATGTTCACGTTATGAATAGAAAACGGCGTCCCCTCGGTCGCCTCCTCCTAAGTGTCATTGAGCAACCTTGACGGGCGCCTCCGTCTAACTGCCCGTCATGCTTAGGAGGTGGAGCTGCGCACCCGGCAGGCGGTGCGGGCGCAGGCAGGGAGCCGCCGGGACCTGTGTGCCAGGGTGATGGAAGACGGGCGCTCACTGCTTCATTTACTGAGCGGGCTGGTCGGCGGCGTCTGCGCCCATCAGTCTCCCCGTAACTCGCTGACCGGTTATCAGCGCCCGGATGCTGAAGAACTCGGCTCTGGTGAAGCAATTTCGCCTGTCACTGCGGATTTGTGATGCAGCGTCCGGGATGCGCTGTGTGAGCCGCTGAAGGGCGCCTGTAGTTCGAGCCTCTTTGCTCCGCATGCCGATTGGAGCAGCCGGACAGGTAAAGTGCGGTGGCCGCCGTGATGCCCGCAAAGCCCGTAGGCGCCTCTCCACTGCATGCTGAAGGTCCCGGGGCGCCGCCTGGTCCCGTTTGCTCCTTCACGGTCTAATTATTTTCCGCGATGAGCACCGAGGAAAAAGCGATACCGCGGCGCCAAGTGACGGTTTGGGGTCGACAGAATGTGACCGTGACCGGAGTCGGGGTCAGGACTGTGTTTGAGCGTCCTGGAGGAGGCGTCCTGGAGGGGGGCAGAGCTGTGATTAGGAGTCCCGTTAGGGGTCAGGTCTGTCTTTAAGCATCCTGGATTGGGTCACGTCTGTGTTTGAGTGTCCTGAAGAAGGTGTTCTGGAGGGGGTCAGGGTTGTGATTAAGCATCCTGAAGAGGATCGGGTTGTAATTAAGCATCCTGGAGGTGGTCAGGGCCGTGTTTTATACATACTGGAGGGGGTCAGGGCTGCTGTGTTGCCTGTGCTGGTATCTGTGCTGTAATATAACTTACTGACACTCCCTGATACCCACTCCCTGGTGCTGACGTTCAGATGCTGACTCTCTGACACTGACTCTCTGATGCTTACTCCCTGATGCTGACGTTCAGATGCTGACTCTCTGACATTGACACTCTGATGCTTACTCCCTGATGCTGACGTTCAGATGCTGACTCTCTGACATTGACACTCTGACACTGACTCTCTGATGCTTACTCCCTGATGCTGACGTTCAGATGCTGACTCTCTGACACTGACTCTCTGATGCTTACTCCCTGATGCTGACGTTCAGATGCTGACTCTCTGACATTGACACTCTGACACTGACTCTCTGAT